GTATAATATGCCGACAATTACAGGAAAAGAGCCAAATATGTGCTACTTCTTTTCACAAGTAAGTTTGACATTGTTTCCATGGGCGTTCTTACAAGGGTGTAAGGTGTCCTAAGTATTTTATTTGTTAATTTATTATGTTTGTATTTTGATACTGACACTAGCTCTGTGTTTATTTGTAGAATACCATAAGATCCTGCGATACGAGCAGTGTGGCTAGAAAATTTCGCCATATCTGAATATGATTTTTCAAAGGATAATTATGTCTGTCGAAGCATTTCCGTGCTACAGATATTAAGGTAACAGTAACTGGAAAACGATGTCTCACACATGGAACTGTGCCTATTAATACAACATTTGGAAGGTAATACGTTTTAGCACAGTGTTGATGAAATGGTTGTGCCGTCTCAAAGGTTCCCTCTTCGAGAAATTGCCAGTGAAGGAAATTTTATAGATGTTGCTATAAAACATCTTCAATCACATGTTGTCCCTGTTCCATAAGAGACGAGCTGTCAATGTTATGAGCTCAAAATTCAGCTTATTTTTGTTGCGTACATTTAAAACATGCTTATTTTCCCACACGATTAAATGTTGTTCAATGTAAATTCATTTTTCCGTTACTTTTAGTACAAATATGTTTTGTTTTCTTTGCATTGTTTATATTCCAGCAGATTTTAATTAAATATATTTTTGCTCCTTTTCTTGTAGTTTTATTTAAATTATTTATTTTAATAAATGTTCTTCCAGTAATCGAGAACTACTATGAAATAATAGAATTAATAGTAGGCAATGACATTGCTATAGCTATAGTATAATGATAGTTTCAATCGAGGAGTTTTCTTTAGTCACTCTTTTGTTCTGGAAATGTTTTTAAAATATTAATTATAGATTTTGAAGAAACCATTAACTTTTTCCTATTTATTGTCTATTTATTACACATGAAAGCTTAAATAATCGAGCACTTCTGATTTTATTCTATTAAAAAGTGTAATTTTTATGGTTTCCTTATATTATGATAGATTTTAAACCTAAACTCGGTACGCCACTGTACCAGGGACCATTGTGTTTACTTATGTATCATTTGTTTATCAACATACAATAGGTTGATGTTACATGTTTACATTGTGTACTGAAATAGGGAATGCGACCTCCCCTTTACTTATTACTCTGAGATTGTAACTCGTGAGAACACACGCGATCGGTAGTAGTCCGGGTGAATTAGGTTTTTTTTGTCAAAAATCGGATCCCGACTCAAATTTTGTGGACTTAAAATTAAGTAAAAAATACACAGAATAAAAGCCTAAAGGATATAGGATATTGTACGCTGGTGTAATTATTGTCATATGCTTAATCGGCGATACCCTTTTACTAAATATGTGGTGAATATTAAAGTAATAAAATTATAGCAGCACTCACTTGAGAGATATATTTCTTGATTAACGGGGGTAGAAGTCTGAAATTAAGTGTGAATATGTTTTAGATTTTTAGATGAAGAACAATAAATACAGGGTGTCCCACCACGAACTTAGGAANATATGTGGTGAATATTAAAGTAATAAAATTATAGCAGCACTCACTTGAGAGATATATTCCTTGATTAACGGGGGTAGAAGTCTGAAATTAAGTGTGAATATGTTTTAGATTTTTAGATGAAGAACAATAAATACAGGGTGTCCCACCACGAACTACGTTGATGGATATCTGGGAAACCGTTCGAATGATTTTTTTAAAATTGTGATGGTGTGATACGGACCGTGGACCTACCAAGCTAAAATATTTTCAAGGTCATCGTACTTCCGGTTATACCGGAAGTCGATACTAACTTTCTTATTTTAAATGGAACCCCCTGTATATTATTGCATTTTTGGAAAGAGCATCCATTTTTAATATACAGATTTCAAACCAATTACATCAAATAGTACTTAAAAAACATGAATTTAAAAAAAAGTCTCGATCCGACCAATAGGAGCGAGATAATATTTTTACTTAAAAATGGTATTCTGGCTGTTCTATTTAATATTTTGTAATAAACTTGGGCTCTTTGTAAAAAATCGGATTTGACCAAGAAATGACCAAGTATAAACGTACGTTAAAAACTGAATTAACTGCACGGCGGTTCATGCGGCTGAGCAGTAGCCATCCAATTTCAATCAAATTCGTTTTTGCACATCCATAATTTTCTTCATCGCTAATTTTGCAATGTAAACAAATTTTTGCGAGCTTTCGCAAAAGCCTATCCTTTTAGCAAATTTCCTCAGGAACAAAATCGATAAGTAGGTATACCCCATGTCGATTAGAGGCTTATTTTCGAAAATATAAGCGAAACACTGAAAAAAGAGCAATTATTATTTTTTTCTTTTGTTATAAACAATATGACGCTCGACCTCTACAAATACACAAATTTAGGCTTTTATTTTGTGTATTTTTTACTTAATTTTAAGCCCATAAAATTCTAGTTAGTCCCGATTTTTGAAGAGGGCATGTGCTTAGTCTAATTCGTCCGGATTATAGCTACCTATTATAGAGGCCAGATTGAGTGTCAGATATAGCTGAAAAGAAGAGGACGACGAACAAAATAACAAAGAAGGCCAATTATATAGTGCAGGCATCTCTGATTGAAGGTAAACATATAACGAATTTCTTCTGCTAAATGACAACAAAAAGTTTAAAAGCGTTTTTTGAGAAACCAATTTTTTGTAACTGTTCGGAAACAACTCAAAAAATTTCCAACGAATATTCGCGAATGTCAATTTAAAAATAAATGTTATCAAACGACTAAGAATTAGGCATTAAAAATAAAAAGTAAAATTAACAGTTGGGAAGTACAGAACGTAATTTAAGTACATAAACTCGCTCGAGTACTCGCTCTCTTTCTCTCTAATCGTTGAGGAAGAGCGGGGAGATCCCGACCTTCGCCCGAGCTTTAACCAATCACGTTCTCAAAATTATCTCTTTCTCTCTCTGTTACTCGTCCACACTGGTCCCGTGTAATTCACTTCGAGTGCTCAGATCACTTTATATCTTTGCCATTCTTATGGTTTTAGAGAGAGAGAGAGCGATATATATATAAATCACTCCGAGCTAATTTTCGTAAACCCCTATAGACTTAAAATCTGAAATGATGTAGTTCTTTCTACCTACTGTAAAATCTGAAAAAAAATCTCCAGTAGCATCGAAGGGATTAAACCTCCCTTAGGAAGCAATTTTTGATAACACGATTTATGTCAAATCGATATGAAATCATCCCCAGAATTTGTTGTCTTCGCTTCGTTTGTGGGTTTAGTTTCCGGACAACATTTATACCTACAGGGTGTCCAGAAAGGTCATGTCAAAAATGAAGGGATATACAGAAGAGGTCAAAATAGATGTAGTACTTCACATACATTTTTTTCCTATTGGGCTTCGTCGTGGAGTTATTCGCCTTCAAAGAAAAAAGTTTGAAAAACAAATTCCAATTAACTAAGTCGTTACCATGACAACAATGAAATTTGGGCAATTAAAGTAGCTCATGGTAATGTTCATTTCCAAGTTCAAACTGATATTCAATATACCTGGGTTATACAGGAGCAGGCGAAATTATCCATTTAAATTTATAGATCTTTGACAGCGTTGTCAAATTTGGCATTTTTCTTTCATAGTTCGATCCCTCACTCACTTTACTAAAAAAAGGTATACCGTATATCAGTCGATATCTTGTACAGTTTTTGAGAAAATTGAACTTTATTAACAACATACATTCTATAAAAAAATGTGATACTAACATTTTTGTAAAAATCTTGGTTTCTTTTGGTGCACGAAAACCTGATACCCAAAAAAAAGATCCAATAATATCATACATATTTCCCATATCGGTAAGTCGCTGACTGCGTGACCTTTTTTTTTACGAAAAAGTGTTTAGGTTTTGAAATTTGATGTCAGGTAAGTTGCTGATTGCTTGACCCCTTTTTTGTTTTTTTTTAGAAGCAAACGAAAGAGTGTCAGTTCTGAAATTTTATATCGGTAAGTCGCTGGGCCCACCCCAAGCAAAAATCCTAGCTACGCCCACGCTTTTATTTATGTTTTGCTACTGATGAATGCTTAAAGACTTCTCTTCACGATGGGCCATGCTGACCAGTTGAGCGCAATGGCTATCATGTAGAGGGGGGTTTTCTTTAGAATTTGTAGGGCAATATACTCTCATAAAAGGTCATCATTTTCCACTATATATTCCAATGAAAACTGATCAATCAAGTCAATTTAGTATAATCTATCCTATCTGCATTGCGCGGCTTGGCTGCAGAATAGTATTTACAACTCCCGGCGGCCAGCCCACAGCCTACTTAGTCCAGGTTGACTTTATGGATCTATTTGTCCATTTATAGCTCTGTTTGAAAATTGCAGAATTTAATGTACTCTACATAATTATCTTGAATAAAAATCATGTTTTTGAAACATGACAATGCCTATAAAAGTTTTTCACTATTATAAGAGACTTACTTACCTACAGGTATGAGATACCTTCGTACCACTGTATTTTCTCTTAACTCGATAGACTCTTCTACAATTTGATTTAACTCAAGTAAAAAGTTATTTTCATTCAAACCTAAAAAAAAAAAATTATTTGTGATTTCTTATTCACATTTGGCATGCTAAATCAAAATGTATCTACAACTGCAAACAAATTCTTGAACTATAAAAATAACAGTGGAATGGTCAGACGCTGTAGTAGTATAAAAAAAGTATTTCCGATTCAGTTGAAAAACCAAGACGTTGACAGTATGTATCTGGTTCGGTCGCTGACGCAGCAACTCGACATTGAAATATTTGAAAAACTTGTTCCCATATTTATTTAACCATACTCATATACAGGTCTGGTTGAACTAAACGTGGAGGTGGTAGAAATGTATATGCCCAGTTGAAGAATGCCAGCGCGGACAAACGAAATCTAACATAGCTGCATTGGGCCACTGGGCAATAAATCTCAGCTGTTGACAAGTGTTGACAAATTGCCCAGCAGTACAGTACAGCAATGCGGAATTTGGTGTGATTCAGGTAATTTTAATTTTTTATAGGCACCTTCTATTAATCATTGATATTACAATTGCGAAAGGGAGAAATAATATTGTTACAACATAGCATTTTGGAGACCTTTTGAAATGGAAACAAAACGAAATTTACCATCAATATAATAAAATTGTTTATATACAGTGTGGTCCGAATTTTATGCAGGAAACTTCGAGGACAGATTGATCTCTTTAAAATAATAGGAGTTTGCCTTATAGGTTGGCCATAGGTCTGGAACGGCCTCGTCTTAGAGATACAGGGTGTTGAAGTTGTTAAAAAATATATATTTTTTGTTTATATCTCAGGAATCTATTAACCGATCTCAATAAAATGTGGTACAAATAATGTACAATAGTAGGCCTTGCATTCCCTAAAATATGAGCTCTAAAGGTTTAACCAGTGATGTACAATGGGACAGGGGTCACCCAATTTTTATAAAAGAAACCTACGCCACTGTAATTTTTACAAGTTATTGTAACGGATTTATATTCTAATGCACTAAATACGTAAAAAAGGTGACTTGAATTTTTTCCCCGAGGTTCACAATTTTCAAGTTATTCATACAAATACAATCCCCTTGTGGCAGACACTTCAAACCATAATATTACAAAAATATTTATGTTTATGCTTAAAAGTAAGTGCAATTTGTAAGCACATCAACAAAATTCTTTCCACATCACTTGTGAGGTAGTGTTCCTGGACTTCCTGGTGTATTTTAGTTTTCCCTGGGGGCATTATCTTTACAAATAAGAACAATTTAAATCAAAATAATAATAAAAATACATTTACCAAGCAACAACAACTAAACAAGAAACAAAATTAACGTTACGTATTTACAGCAATACAAACCACCCACATCGATACATTTCTGACATCTTCCAATAATGGAACTAATTGAAGCTAATATCATGTAGTGGTTTTCTTTTAATTCATTACATCCGTCTTCAATTCGCTGCAGTAGTTGTGGTCTAGTATCTATTGGAGTAGAGTAAACTTTTTAAGTAGGTCAACCCAAACATAGAAGCCCAGGGAGTTTAGATTTGGCGATCTGGCTGGCCAAGACCAGGCCCGGTCTGGCCAGGTCGGGCAGTCGGCAAAACCCGACTTATTTTGGAAGGTAGGCCCCCAAATGACTAATGAGGCGCCAAAACTATAAGAAATATTTTTGTAAATTATTGAGATATAGCCACCGTAAATTGAAAAGAAAAAAGAACGTAAAAATGAAAATTGAATCGTTTGTAGAAATGGGATTTTCCCAGGTCAAAAAAATAACACAAATTTTATTATTTTGCCCTATACCCCTATAAACAGTGTACCTACAGGAAAGAAAGAGAGAAATAAATTTATATTCCAAATCGTAAGCCCTTTAAACTAATAACTCCTTTATCTATAAGCCGTGGGCTTGGGGGAAAACGAGAGAAATTAATATCTCCCAAACTGTATGTCTTTTAACCTTATAATAAACCTTTACTCTATAGCCGTATAAGTATGTGCCCGGAAGAAAAAATGAGAATATAAATAATAACCGAGAGCTTTAAAATTTTTTAAAACCCTCGGACTATGTCCAAACTATTATTGATTTCCTGTATCCTGGGTCGATAGGTTTAAGTTTATTACCTATATTAGTATAATTTTATATAATTTTAAAACCAATAAGTTTGGACGTAGCCTATAGAGCTATAGCGTAAATAAAATCTGTGAAAACGGCACGAGTACTGCAGTGGTAAGTATACTTATATTCCTACAAATAGCGGCGTAGCGCTTGAAATGAGCTTTAATTTGAACTGCAAATAGATATTCGTAGATTGTACTGGAGTCGGAGAAATGACGATTCAAAGTCACCTATCCCAATGAGTTTTTTTCTGTTAAAAAATTATTTAAAAACAGAATAAGTACCTAGGGCAAGCATATTAAAAGTATATTTTTTAAATTTTAAAGATGGTGGTTGAAATAACTAATAAGCTTTAATTTGAGCTGCAAATAGGTAGGAGAGTTTGCCTTGCAAGCTCGATCCAGATGGCAGCATGTAAATAGCTTCTGTCATGTCTGCCGCGTTTGCGCGTTGCACGCTGCGTTAGTGAAACAGAATCAATTTATAAATTAAAATTTGAATGAAATTTTTATTATATAAAAATCGTAGACAAATTTATTTTTGCAAGAAGCTAGAAAAGTAATTTTTTACGAATTTCGGAACCTTGGAGATCATACTCGGCAGTGGGATTTTCTGGTAAGGTGCGTGACACAACGAGAAAAAGAGCAGGTTACTGTACATAGTAAATATTCCAAAAGGAATTTCTCTCGCAATTATAAGTTTGTCATTGACAATAATGAGAAACAAATTTGCAAAACGATGTTCTTAAATACGCTTGCAATTTCTGAAACAGTTGTAAGTACCGCTTTGCAAAAAATTGGTGAAGGTGGTACTGTAAAACGGGACAGAAGAGGAAAACACAACATTAGACCGCATAAGAATCCGGATGCTCTAATAAAAAACATTATGGAACACACAACACTTTTTCCACTTATGCCTTCTCATTATACAAGAAAGAACTCAAAACGAATGTACTTGGAAGAAGGTTTGAGTATTTCACGAATGCATAGAATGTATTTAGAATATGCAAAACAACAAAAATGGGATGCAGTAGCTACACTCAGACAATACAGGGATACTCTTAATTCGAAATTTAATATAGCTTTCTTTAAGCCAAAAAAGATCAGTGTTCCGTGTGAACTGCCTATAAGAATACAGATCCCGATAAGGGAACAGAAAAAATGGAAGATGATTATATTAATTATAATTTAAACAAAATCGCGGTTCGAAATCTGAAAGACATTGAGCAAGAATTGTCGAAAATTGATAATCTCTAATAACAGCTTGTTTTGATTTGCAGAAGATGTTAGTAACGCCCAAGTCAGAAGTCAGCGATTTTTATTATAAAAGTAAAATGGCAACATACAACTTTACAATTTATGATTTAGGCAACAATCAAGGCTATTGCTATGTATGATGCTTATACATCAATGATTTTGAATTTGGAAATAACACCGTTTTCTTGAAATTGGCCACACTCAGAATGAAAATGACAGCATGCATGCTGTGATTGAAGTTGCAAAAAACGTCACTTTGCTATAGTCCTGATCAGTGGATTAGTCTAATAAAAATGGCCAAAGTTACTGCCCCACAGTACAAAGTAAAAGAAATGTCTCAAGAAGATTTTGTAACTTTTAAATCAATGGTAAAGAAACAAAACTGGAAAAAAGATATTACTGGAGAGGCTGCAAAAATCAGTAAAATCAGAGAAATCCACTGCGATTCAAAATCTCCCAATAAAGTATTTTTTGTGTATAATTTTGGAGAAAATCATAAAGAACTAGACTTACAAACAAAAAACACACGCAAACGCGAAGAATATCAATTTCCAAGATTGTATCAAGGTTTGCTGCCAATTGATGGTAAAAAAATTAAGCGGTCTTTTGGGTCTGTGTAAGGCTAATTTGATACTACCGATGTATCATGGATTTTACAACTTCCTTCGGCCTGCTAGTAAGACTGACCACCAGGAAGAAAGTAATATTGACCAAGAAGATGACTCTGACTGAATCGTAATCAATTTTCCTTTTATGTCATTATATTGATTATTAACAATTATTTTTTTATCTAAAAATAGAAAATGTTTAATTTTTCTACACCTAATTAGTGTAGCAAGTTGTTTCTCAATAAAAATTTTGTCGACGAAAACTGTATAGTAACTCATTCAAAATACATTTTTTTATCCTAAACTATTTTATTTAGATCATCAATAATTAATTAAGACCTAAATAATAATTACTTTGTTGAAGAAGAACGATTTAGCTCTTGTAATAAAAAAAATAATGAACATTATTATTTTCTCAACTATTCAAATGCAATTATCTGAGTATAGCCAAATTTGAGATATGACAGTTTTCCTTGGGAGAGTCGATATGCACCCTAATAACAGACAAAACCAAATAGGTCCCGATTTCGATTTTTCTCGACGGCCCCTGAAAGAGCCAGACCGGGCCTGGCCAAGACACTGGACCCTCTGCACCATTATGGTTGACATTGGCATTTGGTCTTCTACTTATCCATTATCTCATATAATTTTCATTATGCCATTGTATTATTCTCCTAAAATGCGCAGGCGCACATTTGTATCCAGCTATTTTGTCGTATATTTAATGGAACATCCTCTAATAATTCAAATAGATGGTTTTCTAGAAAGTTTAGGAATGACTCCGAATTTCATGAGGATTTTCTTGTGACCAAATATCCAGATTGTGAAAATTCGCTACCCCTCGCCTTGTGAACGTAGCCTCATCGGTCCAAAGTATTTCTAGTAAGAATTCAAACAACCACTGATAAAAATTTAGGCGTCTCTCTGCATCTCCCGGAAGTAAATTTTGCACAGGTTGTAAATGGTACGGATTTCTGCCATCCTTACGTAGAACTTTTCAAATTTTCGATTTACTCACCCCAAGTTGCCGAGACGTTCTTCGTGTAGATACTTATTTTGCCGA